CAAAAGAAAAAAAAAAAAAAAAGAACTCAGGATCCTTTTCTATTTATTTTACCAGGAAATTAGACAGTAGTTCCGTATTCTTCAAACACACACGGAGCCCAAGAGGAAGGTGCAGAGGACCACAGATAAAAAGATGTGACAAAAGGGAAAAAAGAGAAAGAGAACCTTCAAGGAGGAGTGCGCCTTCATTATTCACAAATGCAGGGAGACCTAGGGGTGGCCCCAGGGCAGCTTCAGACTGTGGAGCGTCTGCCAGGACCATCACCCCACCCCCACCCAAGCCAGGACAAATAAACACATAAGCTGTGAAACAAAACAAGGATGTTGATGGACAGCCTCCAGCCTTTCCTCCTAACTAGATCTGCTGCACCTGATGCTATCCTGGGGCTTTGCGCTGGTGCCCTGGCATCTGGGTGGGTGCCACCCATAAAGCCATCCTACAGCCTCCCTCTCCATCCTGAAAAGGTCAGTTCCTGAACACATCGCCCCATGAACTGGATGAAGCAGACAACGAGGTGGACGCTTGCCTCTCTTGACATTCTGGCGAAGAGACTGGCAGATGCAAGAGCCCCTAACGGCAGGACAAAGTCTAAGAGGCAATCATGTGTTCACATGTGCCAGCACACCACTGTGCCAGCCCCTCCCTGGGATGCAGGGAGTGCCATCCTTACAAAAATAAAATAAAAGGATGGTTCCCATGCAATCAAGTGTGCCCACTTAACAGCGTAGTGTCTGGTGAGTTAGGACACATTTTACACCAGTGTTGCCACTACTATCAAGATGAAGAGCTCAATCGAAACACAGGTTTCCATCGCCCCAGAGTGTCCTTGTGTCCCTTTGTGGACACTGTCTACCCCTGGCCTGGGCAATCACTAACTTGCTTTCTGTCATCCATCACTGATGTGGCGTGAGTAGTTTATTCCTCATAACTGTCACTGAGTAATATTCTACTGAATGGACATACCACAATGTGTTTATCCATTAACTGGCAGATTGACATTTGGATTGTTTGCAGTTTGGGATATTAAAAAAAGCTGCTATAGACTTCTCTTCCAGTCTTTTGTGAACATATGTTTCCATTTTCCTTAGGTAATTTGTAGGTAAATGTATGTTTAACTTTATAAGGAATTGCTAAACTGTTTTCCCAAGAGGGTATATGTTTTTTCAACACTTGAAACTGTCAATCTTTAAAAATTTTAGTCATCCAGTGGATGTGTAGTGATATTTAATTGTGGTTTTCCTTTGTATATCCCTAGTGACAAGTAATGTTGGGCATCTTTTTATGTGCTTAATGGTGATTTGTATGTCTTATGTGAAAAGTCTGTTCAAGTATTTTGCTCATTTTTAATTGGTTGGTTCAACTTATTCAGTTGTAAGTTAGTTTTCTTTAAATATTCAGAATGTAAGTCCTCTGTAAGATGTATTTTTTCTCAATCCATGGACTATCTGATCAGCTTCTTCTTTTTATTTTTCTGAGTTAGGGTCTCACTCTGTTGCCCAGGCTACAGTGCAGTGGCATGATCACAACTCACCACAGCCTCAACCTCCTGGGCTCAAGTGCTTCTCCTGCCTCAGCCTCCTGAGTAGCTGGGACTATAGGCACATACCAGCACGCCTGGCTAATTTTTAAAAAATTTTTTATTTGTAGATTCAGGGTCTCCCTATGTTGCCCAAACTGTGATCAGTATCTTTTAATAAGCAGAGGTCTTTAATTTTTATGAAGTTCAATTTAGCAATTTGGTTTTTTTGTTGTTTTTTTGAGTTGAACTCTCACTCCGTCACCCAGGCTGAAGTGTAGTGGCATGCTCACGGTCACCCCAGTGTTGACCTGCTGGGCTCAGGCAATCCTTCTGCCTCAGCCTTCCAAGTAGCCAGAACTACAGGCATGCGCTACCATGCCCAGCTAATTTTTTTTATTTATTGTAGAGAGGAGGTCTCGCCAATTGCCCAGGTGGTCTGGAACCTGCGGGCTCAGGCAGTCCTCTTGCCTCGGCCTCCCAAGGTGCTGGGATTACAGGCTTCAGCCACTGCACCCAGCCCAGCAATTTGTTATGCTATAGCTTGGTGTCTTTTATGTTTTTTTAAAAAAATCTTAGCTTGACCCCAAATTGCAAAGATTTCCTCCTAAGTGACACCAACTTTGTTTTCATTTGCTAATATACTAAATATAACATGTTCTTGGTCCAATAATCAGATTTACAGGTAAGTGAAAATGAAAGAAATCAGACCTCTTTCCTCATCCAGTAAGCGGCTGAAGTACAGTCCTCCAAGAAGTGATCAGAGCAATACCAGAAGGGCCCTCTTGGGCTCCTGGGGTAAACACCAGCCCACCGAAGAGATGCTTGGTCAGACAT